TAATTAATTAAATTAATTAATGCATAATTTTAATCAAAAAATATTATTTGAGATATTATGATAATATATTAAACTAAAAATAATCTAAAATTATAATTTATAGATAATATTATAAAATTATAAATTATAAACAATATTTTTATTTCATAATTGTTAAAATTTCAATAAGGTGATCGTGCTTCATAGATATAGCCATTGTTTATCTATCATGCATGCAATATTTTTAAATAGTTGAGCTATTTATTGGCCTTAAGTAATTGCTTATCCTTTATTGTCAAACTTTTTTTTTATGGGGTTATGGTTTCAAGCTTGACAAGTTTAGCATCAGAAACACCAATGCAATCTCTCAAATATCTACAATAAATCAAGATTTATTCATTTTAATCGTCCAAAGAGCGAGGAAGTGAAAATGAGGCTTTCTCGTCACAATTTAGATCTTGGTGTTTAGTTGCATCATGAGTTTTTTCTTCTTTTCTGGAACAAATATTATTGACCTTTACATGGGTTTCATTGTTTATCTCATCAAAAAAGGGCAAAACAATGTCTTGATTTGGATGGCTCAAGTTTAAGACTAAACAATGTATGATATTATGCAGACAATGCTATTGATTTAATCATATGACAGAAACAACTTATCTGCTTCTATTAGAAATCATCTGAGCTTGCTACTTTCAAAATCAAATGCAAATTTATTGAGAAAGAAAACTAAATAATTTCCAAAATTTTCAAAATCAAAAGCAATTTTATATTTATTTTTATTATTTTTGTCTATTTCTTTCATTTTATGTCTGTATTACTTTATAATTTTGAAAATCCTAAATAAAATTGAAAAGAAAAGGAAAAAAGAAAAAATTCGCTACCATTATGATTAGTTTTGATTGCAATAAATACATGTTTATTATGAAAATTTTCTAAATCACAAACAAATTTCTAATTTTATTTTCTCAGTTCTGTTTTCTTTTTATATTTCTTTATTTTTTTGTCTGTATTTCTTTATAATTTTGAAAATCCAAAATAAAATTGAAAAGAAAAGGAGAAAAGAAAAATTTCGCTACCATTATGATTAGTTTTGATTGCAATAGATACATGTTTATTATGAGTTTTTTATAAGTATCATGTGACATATTTTTTATATTTTCATATTATCTAATTTATAATATTTACTTATAAGTAAATAATATATTTACTTATGCAATTAAAATGTTTTAATTATGTCTCTCTTTCTTTCCATAATAGATCGCCATTTTAAAAATATAATTTCAAGATCAAGAATTATTTATGTAGTTAATAAGTAATTTCACGTGCAACACACATGCATATCACTAGTTTTATTATTAAGCTAGAGTTAAGGTGTGGACACATGTCATGAAAATAAGAAAAGACCGTAATTCATTAGAGGTTGTTGGAGACATTCCCACTTTTAGGGGGAGGAGAGAGGGAAAGAGAGCAATTCCACGTACCCAAAAAAAAGAGAGCAATTTCCAAACAATAGTGTGTGCTATAGATTTTAAGGAAAGAGCGAGAAAGAGAGCAATCTCAATCTCCAAAAAACAGCGAGTGTTATAGATTTTAACGGAACAGAAAGAGAAAGATAGCAATCTCTTAAAAATCGATTTGAAGACAAGAGAGAGACAAATATAGCAATATCAATCTCCAAAAAATAGATAGATATATAGGTGTGTGCTAAGAGAGTATTAAGGGTAGAGAGCTAAAAAAAAGCAATCTCTTAAAAATAGTGCTAGCTAAAGAGAGAGATAGATATATATAGGTGCGTGCTAAGAGAGAGAGTATGCAGATTAATTTTTCATTTAGAGAGAGATCTAAGAGAGATTTTATATGTTAATTATATAGAGAGACAGATAGGTGCGTCCTAAGAGAGAGAGGGAGATATTTGCCATATTGTATCCTATGATTATAATTTAGTTAGTTGCTATGGAGAAGTAGGGTGAAAAGTGAGAAAAAAAATCTCTTATTTTCTTGGGGAGTTAAATATTTGAGGAGAAAGATATAGACACATGATTGATGCGGGGAACAGAGATTGAGATTGACGTGGGGGATAGAGATTGACGTGGAGGAGAGAGGGAGATTTGATATCCTAATTATATATATATATATATATATATATATATAAAAAATCAAACATACCATATCCTTACCATATGAAAAAACAATTGTGCTTTATGGTTTTTTTATATATCGGTGCGGCAATGTTTTACGAGATTTTGGATTTCCATTATACATAGATAGTTTCCTCATACTTTTACTTGATTTTGGACTTCTTTAAGGTAATGGTTCTGTTCATACTTTATAGTTTTGTAACTTTTGATATGTTATATTGGTTTAGTTCCGTTAAATTTTGTGTTTTCATAATTATTTATTCATTATACTCTTATGTGATTTTGGATTTGCAATATGCATAGATAGTTTTTCTTTGAGGTAATGGTTCCCCCTTATGATTTATGGTTTTGTTATGTTATATTGGTTCAGTTTCGTTAAATTTTGTATTTTCATACTTTTATATTTGTTCGTTATGCTTTTACGTGATTTTGGATTTCCAACATGCCTAGATGGTTTTTCTTTGAGGTAATGGTTCCCTCTTATGCTTTATGATTTTGTTATGTTATATTGGTTCAATTTCGTTAAATTCTGTGTTTTCATTAGATAGTTTTGTCATGCTTCTACCTGATTTCGGATTTCCAATATGCATAGTCATTAGACTGAAGAGAGAGAGAGGATTTTTAGATAAGTAATTTTTAGATTTTTGAATTAAAGATTAAGAGGTATTTGGTTATTTTCTAAAACATAAAAGGGATAAGTTAATTTTGAAACCATGTCTTAATCCCTTCATTGGTAGGAAGGATGAGAAGTGCATCAGGAGCTGATAGAATCAGCCCATTTGTCCAACACGGCGAGGTCTCGAAGAACTATAAATCCGAATAACCGAAACCTAAATTTCAATGCTCTAAAAAATAAAATAAAATAAAAAATCCAGTTTGCATTAAAACCAAACTATAGGGATCGCGATATGTTATGATTAATATGATCTCTATAGAGATTAGAATTTGGTTTGAAATCGGGTACATAGCTGCCGGATTGGATAGTCGTTATCAATTTGGTTAATTGTTGCACAAATTACCTAAATGTGGATAAGTTTAGGAGTTTTACTTCAATCAGAATCTTGGCAAACTGCAACAATGTGTTTTCACTGAAGTACAACAATGTGTTTTCACTGAGAGCTGTAAGAGCTTTTGCTTGCCCATTATTTTAGCTTTTATTCTAATTAATTGGAATCGGCTATATGAATTCAGGTTCTTTATTCCGTTCTATTAAATGTCATACCATAAGTCTCCGTATCTTTTTGGACTACTTCCAACCATCTCCTTTTGGGCTTGCCCCTTGCCCTTTTCAGTTCTTTTCACTTGAACTAATTTGTACCTCCTCCTAACAGGTGTTGTACTTGATCGGTGCATACATGGCCAGCCTATCTAAGTCTACTTTCACTCATTTTATCGTCTATTGGTGTCACGCCTAAATTCTCTCAAATAGATTTATTGTGAATTCTATCATTTCTTGTCATGCCCCTCATCCATTTCAACATCTTCATCTCCGCTATGCTCATTATATGGGTATATTGTTTTTTATTCGCCCAACCTTCCGCTCCATAGAGTAAAATTGTTCTTCTATGCATATTGAACAAAATTGTCCCTCTATGCATATTTTAGCCCACTTATATATATATATATATACATATATATATGAAAAATGTTAGGATTAGCCCACTAGTTTATATGAACATATAAATTCAACGGCCCAGATTGATTCTGGGCCGATTTGACGGTCACGACTTCATTTTGTATTTGAATTTTAAGTTTTTTTCTACAAATCCAAATAACTTGCAATTTTAGTTATGTATCCTTCAAAAATAGCAGAATCTAATAAAAATATCAAAAAAATAATTTGCAATAAATAAATTGATCAAAATACCTTTGAAATGTTTTGAGGA